GCTGCTCTGGAAGCTGTTGCTGCATGCTGGGCTGGAGCCTGTGGCCCACACAGGGATAACCAGGTTGAACTGGACTGTGGTGTGTGTCGTGTGGGAGGGCAGTGCTGGTGACCTCTGGGGCTGTTGGAGGCAGGGACAGAGGTTGGTCAGATTGTGTTGTCCTGGCAGTGGTTTTGTACTCTGATCTGTGGCAGGTAATGCCTAGGGATGTGCAGGAATCTGTTTGACACCACAGTGGCTTAGGAACTCATCCTTCACCTTGTAGCTCATGGACTGGTCTTTGCATTTCCTTCTGGATCTTTGCCTTCTTGATCCTTATTCTGTTTGCAGTTGTTCCTTGCTTTAATCTTGTTTGGAGCTCAGTTTAATGGGAACTCCTGGTGGATAGGGGAATGGGAGAATCTTCCACTCATCACTGCCTTAGCTCAGGGACAAATAGCACAACAGGACTTTGCTGTTTGCCACATCAGTGACTACATGTGGTACCCTCCAGTTGCAAAATGACTTGGCCACCTTGAAACTAGGAGACCTAAACTGCTGAGAATTCTTAGAACATAATTAATTCGGATAAATGGTTCCTAATTGCTCCTCTGTAATTGTGTTTGAAATTGGAAGCCTTTATGCCCTGCTAAACCTTCTTTCAAGTGGTATCTCTAAGGGGTTCATAATTTTGTGTCTCCTTTTTTTTCCCCCCCTCAGTGTCTCCTTTTCTGGTGTAAAAAGATTGAAGGGAACAGACAAGAAGCAATGTGGGAATTCAACTTCAAGTTCAAAAAACAGGTAGGAAAGAAGGACCAGAGTGGCTGTGAGTTGTGTTTGAAGCAGTAATGGTTTTTCTGGGTGCTAGGAAAGAATAATAAATGGAAACTGGTTCCCATGACAAACTAAAGCACATTCTGAAGCTACTCTCAGTTTTGTCTGTGTTACCAGGACAGCCAGAATCCACATTTTTACCTCCTCCCTTGGTCTCTTTTCTCCACTGGCAGATGTGGATCATCTGTTACCCCAAATAATCTCATCTTTGAGTCATCACTGCCGATTATTACCAACAAAACACTGTTTGACTGGTCAGAATGGTGACCAAAAGCTGCAACTTGTTGTTTGAGATTTCTCAGAGATGTGAAGAAAGCCAAGGAGAATGTCCAGGAATGGGTCTGGGGAGAAGCCAGGAGTTTCAGGCAGCCTTGGGAATTCTGCAGCTTTCCCCTCTAAAGGAATGGTCCTGTCTGTCCTGAGCTTTGGCTCTTTGTGGCCCAAACCCTTGGGAGGGTGGTGAGAACCTGCTGGGCTGCACTGGAGAGAAGCAGCCAAAACCCATCAGAGGTTCCTGCTTAGCTCAGTCTGTCTCTCTCTCTCTCTTTCAAGTCTCCCAGATTTAAGAGCAAGTGTTGCAAAGGTCTTCAGCCACCAATCCAGTATGAGGAAGTCCATTCAAACCCTGATCAGGATTGCTGTCTGCTGCAGATCACCACCTTCAACTTCATCTTCGTGCCAATAGTCATGGGCATGACCTTCACCTTGGTAGGTTGGGACAAAGCTGCTGGGCAAGTGTAGGGAGATGAAGAGGGCACTCCTGGATCATGGAATCTCCTGAGTTGGAAGGGACCCCCAGGGATCATCAATGCAACTCCTGCCCTGCACAGGACACCCCAACAATCCACCCTGTGCCTCTTTGGGGCTGTGTCAATCCGACTGCTCCACCCAACCAGTGCTGGGAATCTTAGGGTTTATGAGCAGAGGAAATGCTGAGGATTTCCTCAGTTCTACTTCTGCATTTCCATCAGCTCTTCCCTATTTGGTGCAGTAAATATAGAGGATCTGCAAGGAGCTGTGGTTGGGCAGCACGTGGGGGAGACGAGTTAGCCGAACTGTGGCACGTGCAGGAGCAGGAGCAGTGAGTGCCCTTCGTATAGAAATATCTTACTTTCTTGTTTGTTGCCTTATTTCTTATCTTATTTATTGCCATATGACAATAAATTCTGATAGGAAAGTCCCATAGGAGCTAACTTTGACTGTGTTTGGTCCCTGGTTACAGGGAGGAAGAGCAGCTTTTGAACAAACTCAGCTGCAAACAGCAAGCAGCAGAGCTTGGGCAGTGCCATGGTGATCTCTGGGGCACCTTGACAGGAAAAATCTGCTTTCTAGGATCCAATCTAAGTTTCCCTCTTTCAATTTTCCCCCATTCCTCCTTGTCCCTGCAGCTCCTAACACAGAGTAGCTCTGCAGCTTCCCTGGAGCCCCTTCAGCTCCTGGCAGGCTGCTCTGAGGTCTCCACACAACCTTCTCCAGGCTGAACAGCCCCAAATTTCTCAGCCTGTCCTGGTAGGGAAGGTGCTTCAGTGCTCTCATCATCTCCATGGCCTCCTCTGGCTGCCCCAACCCTGGCAGTATTTCACTCCAGGTTGGCTAAAGCCTTGAGCAACCTGCTCTGGTGGGAGGTGTCCCTGCCCAGGACAGAGGGTTGGCACTGAATGATCTCTAAGCTCCATTCCAGCCCCTTCACATTCTATAACACTATGAAACACAGAGTGCCCTTCCAGCTTCCCTTCCCTTCAGATCTTGCAAGGTATTATGAGGTCTCCACACAACCTGCTCTTCTCCAGGCAGAGAAGAGTTGTGTTCAGAGCTCTCCTCCCTGCTGTGCCTCTGAAGCTGCTGTTGCTCTCCTCTCTTGCAGTTCACCATCAACGTGAGCACAGACATGAGGCACCACCGCGTGCGCTTGGTGTTCCAGGACACTCCTGTGCGCAGTGGGAAGAAGCCTCGGCCAGACCAGGGGGTGCAGGTGGTGCTGGACCCTGTGCACAGTGTGAGGCTCCTGGATTGGTGGCACCCACAGTACCCCTTCTCCCCCAAGGCTTAGTGCTCTCCTGGGGCTGCAGAAACCCCCAGGGCACCGGATCTGACAGGCTGAAGAGAATTCCTAGGACCCAGGAAATCCTCTTTTTATTTCTTAAATAAATTCTGCAGTCTCCTTGCAAGTGGTTGAAGCTGCTGAGCTAGTTTGTATGTATATAACTTCTGGTCAGTGCTGGGCAGAGCTGAGTGTAAAGCAGAAACTGTTTGTAAACACACTTTTATGTAAAATTGACATTTTATGATTTGAAAGGAGCTCCCTGGAACTGTTCATTTAAAATCCTTTTGGTGCTAATCCGAGTGGTCCTGTGGTCTGTTGGTGGGGAAGAAAAAGGCATCCATGAGCAAACAAAGGAATTCTTTCACAGAGGCAAAAAGGCAAAAGTCTCTCTTGAATGTCAAGGTACTCCAAGTTCTCACACTGGTGTTTCCCCATTGGAGAAAGAAGATCTAAACCTTTACAAGCAGAAGGAGCTTTGCAGAGAAGATGAACAGGGAGGGAGAGGAGCTGGAGGGGATAAACTAACTGCAGCAGTGATGAAGGACTCGACTCTACCTTTTCTAGGAGCAGTGGGCAGTGCTGAAGGCTTTGCTGTTGAAAGCCACCAGCAATCAGTGATTGGCTTTTGACTAAACAAACTCATTTCGGTGAGGAAGATGCAATCCTGAGACTTTCTGTGGCTCTGGGTTGACTGAGAAGGGAGAGAGCCACAGAGGCTGGGCCTGGAGAGCACAGTCTGTGTGCAGAAAGGATCTGGCTGGAGGCTGAATTGAGACAGGGCCTCGTGGAGGAGTGGCACAGGCAGAGGAGGTGCAGCAGTGCAGGTGCAAGTGAGGTGAAGTGAGTGGAAGTTTGGTGAGCAGTTAAGGACTGAGGTTTACTACCTAGTCATGATGAGCTCCTCAGTCCTGCTGCACATCAGGTCTTGTCCCAAGCAGGAGTAATAGCACGTTTCCATGTAATATGTTCAGTGAAGCTCCTGGAGTTCTGCCACCTCAGGCTGAACTCAGTCTGCACTCCCAGGCCCATGGTGCAGCTGCCTGTGAGGAGTCTCTGCTGCTCTGCACATCTCCACCAGGACATCTGCCCCATACTTGGATCTGCACCAGAAGCTCTTCTTGGTGACTTCAGACACACATTTGGGATATCTCCTGCCTCACAGTTCCCTTTCTCACTGCTCTGCACACCTGTTGATGCCAGCAGGTAAGTTCAGAAACTAGATTGGTCCGAGTGGAGGTGCAGGGCAGGAGGAATGTGCTGTGATGTTGTGCCAGGACAGCCTGGGCAGTGTGGGGTGCAGGTGAGTGCTGGAGCTCTGCCCTGCCCTGAGGCAGCTTCATCTGAAATCATAGAATCAACCAGGTTGGAAGAGACCTCAAAGATCAACGAGTCCAACCCTACATACTCTGTGGTTTTGGGCACCACAATACAAGCAGGACCTAAAGCTGTTGGAGAATGTCCAAAGAAGGGACATGAAGATGGTGAAGGGCCTTGAGGGGCCACATGAGGAGAGTCTGAGACACTTGGGCTGTTCAGACTGAGGGGAGACCGCAGCATTCTGTACAACTTCCTCCTGAGGGGCAGTGGAGAAGCAGCTCTGACCTCTCTGTGACCAGCGACAGGACATGGGGAGCGGCTGGAGCTATGTCAGGGGAGGGTTAGGTCGGATATGAGGCAAAGGTTGTTCCCCCAGAGGTGTCTAGGCACTGAACAGCTCCCCAGGGCACAGCCTGCCCAAGGCTGACAGAGCTCCAGGAGTGTTTGGCCAATGCTCTCAGGCACAGGGGTGCATTGTTGGGGTGTCCTGTGCAGGGCAGGAGTTGGATTGATGATCTTTGTGGGTCCCTTCCAGCTCAGGACATTCTGTGATGTTGTGTCTGGAGGATGCAGGTCCAGTGTTCCATCCCAGTGGCTGTGGCTGTGCAGGAAGAAGCTGCTCTAAGGCACTGGGGAACAGCAGTCTTCCTTTGCTGTGGGGTTAAATACTGCTGACCTCGGGGGTAGGTGCTCAGCAGTCACCACTCAGCTGGTGGAGGGCAGTGAGTCATGGTCAGGCTGCAGTTCCCTGTTGTCTTGGAGGGCTGAGGACAACTGCAGGAGAGTCAGTCAGGCTCAGTGCTGGTCCTGCCCTTGGGACACAACAACCCCCACAGAGCTCCAGGCTGGGGGAGGAGAGGCTGGAGAGGTGTTGGTCACAAAGGGACTTGGCAGTGCTGGTGGCAGCAGCTCAGTGTGAGCCAACAGTGTGACCAGGTGGCCAAGGAGGCCAAGGGCATCTTGGCCTGGAGCAAGGACAGTGTGGCAGCAGGACTAGGGCAGTGCTCATCCCCCTGGACTGGGCACTGGGGAGGTCACAGCTCAGTGCTGGGGTCAGGTTTGGGCACTCACTGCAAAAAGGCCATTGAGGCTCTGGAGAGAGTCCAGAGAAGGGCAACAAGGGCAGAAAAGGCCTAGAACACCTGCTCAATGAGGCTCATCAAAGGTGTAGAGCACCTGAGGAAGGGCTGAGGGAGTTGGGTTTGTTCAGCCTTGAGAAGAGGCTCAGGGGTGACCTCATGGCTCTCTCCAACTCCCTGACAGGGGCTGGAGAGAGGTGGGGATGTCTCTCCTGCCAGGGCTGCAGGGAGAGGACCAGAGGGAATGGCCTTGAGCAGAGGCAGGGCAGAGGAAGATTGGATGTTAGGAAGAAGATTTTCCCTGTTAGGCTCTCCAGGCACTGGAATTGCCCAGGGAGGTGGTGGAGTCACCATCCCTGGAGGTGTTTAAGAGGTGTCTGGATGTGGCACTGGAGGATGTGGTTTAGAGGTTCCAGCAGTGACAGGTTAATGGTTGGACTTGATGATCTTAGAGGTCTCTTCCAACCTTGTTGATTCGATGATTCTCTGAGGTGGCTGCTCACTCAGAACTTGTGTTCTGCACCATCCAAGGCACTTTGCAGGCTGTGCTTCAAGGGGTTTTCAGCTACATTTCCAGAATGTTTTGCAGGATGATGCCACCAGCACCATGTGCCTGGTGATTGTGCTGGGGCAGGATGTGGAGGGTGGAGCAGAGAGGTCTTTGCTCCTGTGCAGAGACACAGAAGAGCTCCAGGGGCTGAGTGTTCCTGACGTCTGTGAAGGGAAGAATAGGCTCTAATCAGGCATGTGGCATGTCCGGGATGTGCTCAGTGTTCTGGGGCAGAGGTACTCGGCAACACCCACCTGGGAGAGCAGATGGATTTAGCCCTGTGACTCCCTGGGCTGATCCCAGGTGGTGCAGCTGCAGTGCTGGGAGGGCAGGAAAGGAGGTGGATGGGCTGTTTCCTGCTACTTGCCGGATTCAAATCTGGATGTTTAAATCCAGACAGATGCCCCTAACCCAGAGCTGCCTCTCCATGCAGCTTCCTTCTAGGCTGAAGTGTATAAAATATACAAGAGTGATTTTCAGGCTTTTCCTTTGCAAACCTTCCAGTGACTCCAGTGCTGGAGCTGTGTGGATCAGCAGTGCTGGCAGGGATCAGGGACCTGTTCTGATCCATGGGAGGAGGCTGGGGAGGTGCTGGAGTGGCTGGGGAGGTGCTGGGGAGACTAAGAAGGTGATGAGGAGACTGGGGAGGCTGTGGAGATGGTGGGGAGGGTGCGGAGGTGCTGGGGAGGCTGAGGAGGTGTTGGTGTGACTGTGGAGGTGGTGGAGAGACTGAGGTGGTGAGGAGACTAAGGTGGGGAGACTGGAGAGGTTGTGGTGATAGTGGGGAGACTGGGGACATGGTGGGGAGAGGAGGGAAGTGCTAGGGAGGCTTGGGAAGTCCTGGGAAGGCTGAGGAGATTCTGGGGTTACTGTGGAGGTGGTGGAGAGACTGAGAAGGTTTTGAGGAGGCTAAGGTGGTGGGGAGACTGGGGAGGCTGTGGAGATGGTGGGGAGACTGGGGAGGTGGTGGGGAGACTGGGGAGGTGGTGGGGAGAGAAGTGATGGGAAGTGCTGGGGAGGCTGAGGAGGTGCTGGAGAGGCTGTGGAGATGCTGGGGACGTGGTGGGGAGGCTGAGGAGATGCTGGGGAGACTGGGGAGGTGGTGGAGAGACGGGTGGTGGGTGGGGAGATTGGGGAGGCATGGGAAGTGCTGAGGAAGCATGGGAAGTGCTGGGGAAGCTGTGTGTGAGGGTTTGCCTACGTGTAGAGCTGCAGACTGCTGGGTTTTCCCCTTCCTCCCTCAGCTCGAGCACTGGAAGCCAAACCCTGTGCTGAGGTTTGCTCATGCAGGTCACACCTGCCAGACCTCAGCCCAAAGGGGGATTTCCACCCCTGTCCCCCAAGCCCCAAGCTCTTGAAGCCTGCTTGCCAAAAAACTCCTCCTTGGTGTTCTCCCGGGCTGGGATGCAGTGAGGCTGTGCTGGGGACAGGAGAGGATGTGGTTTGGTGGGACACAGTCACTGTTCTCTGCAGGACATAGCTCAAAGGGGTCCCTGGGGGTGGAAAGGGAGATCAGGTGGTGGTGGCTGCAGCCCCAGTGCTCTCCCTGCTGCCTGGGGCCCTGTTCTACCTCTGCTTTGTCCTGCTTGAGCTCCTGAATAATGGAAGGGCTGTAAATGGATCTGTGCTGGCTCTCTGGTTTCCCAGGAGAGACAGGCAGGCTCAGCCACCACCCTGGCCTCCCCTGCTCCTCTCCGGCTCGGGGCGCAGTGTCCAAGAGGAGCTGAGGTGGGTAGGGTAAGGGCTGGGTGCTTGGGGAAGTGTCTGCTGTGCCTGTCCCACCCCAGTGCTCAGCTCCAGCCCCAGCTGGGGGCACTGGTTGGTCCTCCCTGAGCCCCTGAGCTGGAACTGCCTGCACAGCCTCGTGCCCTTCTCAGAGCAGCCTTTGCACCTGGGGCTGCTCTTTCTTCTCCAGCTTGTTCCAAGAACTAGCGAAACTGTGCTCTTTAGCCTCATTTCAGGCACCTCCCTATTCCATCACCCACCTCCCCATTCCTTCACCCACCTCCCCATTCCTTCAGCCTCCTCCTGATTCCCTCAGTTTCTTCCTTATTCCCTCAGCCTCCTCCTTATTTCCCCAGGCAAAATCTTTTGATGAGTGGACCTTGTTTGGGTTCTGAGCCTGAGGGAGGCTGGAAAGCAGCTCTGGGGCTGTGTCATGGCCCTGGCAGGGTAGATGAGTGCAGGGTCCCTTTTCAAGCACCCCAAACACCATCTGGGACTTGTTCCATAGCAGGAGGGGGTGAGTGGCTCGAGCTGGGCTTGTGGGACCTGCCTGGAAAGCAAGAGGACCCAGGACCACATTGTCTGGGTGCCAAAGGCTATGTTGGGCACCCCAGAGCTGTGTT